CGTACGAAGCGGACACGCCAGGCTTCCTCGCACACTCTGCGAGGCTTTCTTTCGTGTTTTATAACGACGATTTAGAAACGTCCATTTAAATTATAAACTATCATTATTCTCGCCCGTACAAAACAATGATTATTAATTCAACTCTCTTGAACTTCTCTCTGACCAAAACACATGTTATCATCAAATATTCTCAGTTCTGTCATTTTATTGTCAATGTCTTTAGACGTCGCTTTCTACGAGTAAATCTGTTTGGGATTGATGTAAATTGATAAAAATAAAATACATTCTCTCTGTCTCCCTTTCTCTTTCTGTTATAAATATATTTTATTTTTTTGTGTTCCTAATGTCTCACAAGTTATATCGACATTGCAATTTGTTTTCGACTCTGAGCGGAAGAGCCGAAGATTCACAAGGGCCGGACTTCTTTCCCGCGAAGATACAATTCGAGGTAATAAAATCGCGCGTCGCCGCGCGCCGCGTCGAGCGGTGTCGACCGAGCAGAAGCGGCAATGGATGAACGAAAGGGTTAGCTTCGAGATTAAAAGGAAGTCACCCCCTGCTCCTCCCTTCTCATCTCTTCCATCAATCACAATTATATCCTCTCTCTCCCCTGCTATCGTTCATAATTACTGCTCGTGACTTTATTCCGACGCTCGAAGCTGCCGGTCGACCGGCTCGGTGTGACGCGAGAAAAAAAGAGGAAGAAGAGAGGGGACATGAATGCTCGGAGCGAGATGGAGAGAATCGACTTTTGGCACGGAGATTACTGTAAAACTCTCCGTTGGGGGTGGCAGGTATCACTTGTGAGGAGAGAAAAAGTTGCAAATTCTCCCGGTCGTAGCTTTGATTTCGTCGCGGAAACGGAAACGAAAAACGTCTGCTATCTCTGCTTGAAAAGGAAAAAAAAGAAAATAAAAAAAAAGGGAAAATCCCTTTCGAGCCACTGTTCCGCGTTCGCAAAATTTCTACTCGAACGAACCGAATGAAACATTTTTCTCGAACGCAATCGAGATGCGATCGCTCGGATGCGTCCCGTTCGCTTTCAGTAAATAATGTCATGGTATTCGATGACGCAGAGCGCTCGCGCGTACACGGTGCATTAAACGCCACCGATGAACTTACGTCACATTAAAAAAAATTATTACCAAGTATCCAAGGTCGCTGTTTTATGCAAGTTCGCCTGTGGAAAAAAATATCATAGGTAAAGTCTGTGCCGTCAACGCTGACCTTACGCAGTTTTTTTTACGCATGGTAAATCCCGATTCCGTTGTCATGCGATGTGATATTTTCACCGACTGACAATCGCCCGGTGGAATCGAGGCGAGGTGGAAACGACGGCGCGGCGCCTAATTAATCGAGCGGTTTCGTGAAATTCGTGGTCGCGACGTTTCACTTTTGAACACGGAACGACGTCAGCGAACTTAAACTATCCGATCGTAGGATGGAAGCGGAAATGGGTCAGACATGGGATTTGATACAAGACGCGTATGGTTTCGACACGCGGAATTGGAGTCGGAAGCGAAATTATATAATGAAACCCCCCCCCCCCGTTACGAGTTAACAGTACAGACATGTAAACGTCACGGTATACAGCGGCTTCTCTCTCCTGGTATTCGGTATATTTTTATAAATAAGTCCACCGTCGTTTGTGCGCGGGTCCATGTTCTTCGCTCGTCATCTTGCGACTTGGTAGGGATCAAAGGTGGGCTTCCTCTTCCTGAAACGTGACATCTGGACGCCGTGAATCGACTCGGAATCTCGATTTAATCTCATGAAGGCTCCAGATGCGAAGCAAACCGCGGTAAATTATTGCGGTACCATTTGGCGCTTTATTTACGCGAGTATGAAGAGAAACTGTTGTAAAAACTCTTCTCAAAACAAGTGACGCGACTGGACAATTAAGCTTGGACCGCTAGTTTGTAACTCACGGAGGCAAAAATATGAAATACTCTAAACTCGACAGATAAATTTAGAATTAGACAAACGATTTGAACGATTTTCAGGAGGATTTCAACATTTTTCTCTCAATTGATACATTATATATCCTCCGTATGTATCCTGTGTACGTATGCTATCGCAGGACGACCTCGCTCCTTTGCGGAAGGGCCCCCTTCATCCGCCGGCATGGCTCACACATGCTTACGCGCGTGCATATAAACGGAAACCCTTCAAGTAGCCTACCATCCCACCTCGTGTAGTACAGACACTTCTGTCACGCACGAGTGGAGGGAAACGCGTAAAGTACAAGTGCACGCGTATGAGCGTATATACCTAGCGTGTAGGTGCACCGCGTTGCGCTCACGTACGTACGTATGCCTAGAATTCACCCCTCTTCTCGCTGGACGCCAAGGGATGTCGAGGGGGATACCGGGGTGGTTCTCGAGCAGGTGCAAGCGAGTGGGTACATGCGAGAGAGCGCGTTTCTCCAAGCAGAACAGAATCTATTGCGAATCCACGACGCGCTGAATGTTTTATATTGTCTCTCTCTCTCTCTCTCTCTCTCTCTTCTTTGGAAACGAGCGGTTTTCCGGTTTCACCGAAAATGATTTTTCACTCCATTATCGCGACGCCCGGTTGATCACGTAAATAAGTTATACGCGAAAATCACTATCGCGATCTATGCGTCGCTTCTGTTCGCTTACGAACGAAACACAGTTAAATATTTACGCGTTAAGCATCGTCATCTTTGTTGAAAATCACAAGGCCTTTAACGCTGTTATCAATGTTACGGGCGTAAGGGCTTTGCAGGTTCGTGAAAATTGTCGGGAAATGGCGCGAAAAGGGTGTCACGTTACTCCGCAACATTTCCGCGCGAAACTTGCGCGTGTCTGACCTCCAGTTTTCTTCCCCCCATCATCCCCCATCCTCCCGTCACTCGTCCTTCATCCCTCTCTCCGTTCGTTCATCCGTCCTCTTCCAACCGGCACGACTTGCGAAATCGAGCTCCCTTATTTTATGCTCTCTCAGATCCCTGCTCGCATTCTTCGAACATCTAGTATATTCACCTTCTTGATAAGGTGTCACGATTAGAACTCTGATGTCGTGTTTCACGCAACGTCGGCGGAGGAGTCGTTAAGTTTTTAGTATGATATTTAGTATGATAAATCGTCATAACAATTGGCGTTTGCTCATTTTGCGTAATCTCAAAACGAAATTTATTTCATATTTTTTTTAACAATAATCCATTATACTTTTTCAGAGAACTATCCTATACGATGTATAGCTTCCGCTAAATGATTTACAGTTTTCACTAAAATGATTTATATCAATAAATGATAATTGTATTTTCCAAATTAAATGTTATTTATTCCTAGTGTAGATAGCATGCGTAAAAAAATCCATTTTTAACACGCAGTTGCGAGATTTCTTCTCACCGTTGCTCTTCCATATCATTAGAGAGAAACGCTTATATCATATAAATAAGCTTCGTAATTATACAATTATTTATCGAGACATTTTCCTCTTTTATTTCTTTTTTTAAAACGATAGAAATATTTCGAAATAAAAATATTATTAATTAAAAATTATTTATGAACTGATGATCCGTTATACTAGCCTCTATCTCCATGATAAAATAATTCTAGACAAATTAGCGATCAAGGATGCTGAAGAGTAAATAAAAAATAACCCAAGATAATTTTACTGTAGTTTCAATAAAATATATATAAAAAATCCACATATGTGTCTCTTATCCTAAATAATGCGTAACGCAAATATGCATGGAATATCGTATGGTAGCAGAACAGCGACATCTCTTGTTAAGAATATTTGTTTGTTCATTCCGAAAAAACATATTAAAAATGTTTATCAATGTTTTTAACAAATTTGACGCCGCTTGCGATTTGTAATTAACAATGGCAATTAACGATACACTGACAACGTGTGTCCGCTTGAACACCGCTGGTAAGACGCAGTGCGATGACACACTTGCTCGGATACATCGTTCATAGAACGCTACATTATCGGTACTCACTTTCAATGCCGTTGCGCCAGGCGCGCTCTGTATTACAATACTGACAATACGAATTACAATCATTGACAAATTACAAATTATCGTGAAGAAAACCTCGCGTGTAATCAACACGCATTTAACAATCGCATTTAACAATTTATTTTCTTGAAAGTGCCCTGTTCGCGTCACTGCGCGACGTTATAATCGTATATTTTCAAAAATTCGGTATAATCTGGCACGAACAACCGTGTGGAAACCAGAACAAGTCGGAATACAGTCGATTTCCGCTGCCTTCAAGGGCGATTAGTCTCTTTTGCACAAATTGTTGCTGGCATCTGCTTCTATATCCCTCTGGAATGGAGCATATTCCGTTGCACTTGTCATTCCTAAAAGCATAAGAGAATCGATATCTTCTTCTTCTTCTCTTTCTGCCTCGAATTCGTTAATGACGTCTCAGCGTGTCATAGAATATCTCCTGAATTAATTTTATTTGAAGTAAATGTAAATATTAAAATGTGGATTGAAGCGGAATAATTTTTATCTCTTTGCAGATATTTTCATGGAAAATATTTTAGATTTATCATCACAACAAATTTTTTAAGCACACTTACACGCATTTCTCGCTTCTGACGAGTTGCGAATACTTGTTTTGTCCCGGAAGATTAACAACGTACATCCAGTTGCCTTGTTTATTTAGAGCTGCTCTGGGAGCAATGTATTGCGCTTGCGTGGGACACAAGGCAATGGCATCCGGATTGTTTGACTGTCTCTTTACACGATCGTGCTTAAATTTCGCATATCCCAACAAGGGATTCACGCTGTAAGTTCGCGGCGATATTTTGTCACTTCGCGAGTACCTTTATTTAACAGAAAATAATAAATCTTTGAGCAGAGATTAAGTAGAGATTAGTATTTAATTTTTCCGATATGATATTTGCTACCTTTTCGTCAACCACCATTGATTTGATCCAAACATATTTATAAATTCCTGCGAATAAGTATGATCGATCTGTCGTGCGTCATTCTGATGATACTTCAACGTTACTTCCGGGAGGGAAGGATTTTTCGGTGATTGCGGTGGTGCAGAATATTTGTAGCTGCAATATAACAAATTTAATTTAGAAATTGCAAAATTTAACTTAAGATTTGTATGTTAATATCATATAATTATTTGAGTACATTTTTTATTTCGCGTCAACAATAATATAAATAATGTAATATATGACATAAATAATTTGTGTGTGTGTGTGTGTTTTGTGTGTAACAAGTCTTCTTACCTGTGATAACGGCTACTATTGGATGGAGGTCCATATACTAAGGCTGGCTGTCCTCTTAGAGGAAGCTGCGTATACAATTGACTATCGTCTTGTCGTGGATACTCATAGCCTTGATTGTAATCCGGAGGAGAACTTGAAAAAAATGACGATAACAAAGGAATACCAATAACGGAATACCAATAACGATCAAATTAATTAAATTTAATAATTAACGATTTAACGGTTTTAATGATAGAAACGTCGCGAAATTATCAAAGTTTATATTCGTACTTACCGATTTGATTTGTCTCTCGTGCACATGTAAATCTCTTCCGACAGTTACAAGTTAAATGTATCACGCGATATTCTACAGTTACATTGAAGATACATACCTGTAAGAGTTGAAATCGTCGCGAGATTCATCTTGTAACGCGGTGTTAAAGTCAAAGCTGCACTTGTCGACGAGAAACATGATGAGTTGTACTAAAAAAAAAAAAAAAAAAGAAAAATAAGATAAAGGAGAAAAAAGAAACCGTCGCGGTCTCTCTCTCGAGAATGGAATACAATGTGTTTGATAAAAACGAGCGATGCATTCTCTCGAGGATTACATTCGACCTTTGGCCCCGCACGCGTGCCGAGCTCTTACCGCAACGCGTATCAAAGACCGTCTACTTCGTCTCTCTCGCCAGACACAACCGAGATTCGTTTCTCTTCCAGGTTAACAAAAACTTATTTACGCAGGTGCATGCTCAATTGAGTATATTGCGTAATATCGCGTTAGAGACCTAAGCAAGCGTCAGAAACGAGCGAGACGAAATGCAGAATGTTTGCAAGCGAAATGACACGCGCGGCGTGAACGATAGGCCGACTCGAGTCAGCCGACAATTTGATATTTCTGACAGTCTAATTGACCGTTGTTCGGGTCATCTGTATGCACATAATTATCAGGAAGTGACAGCTGTCGGAGTAGCAAGTTTCTCGAGCTGCTGAAATTATTCAACCTGTTGAATCGACCATCGCGACTTATCGAAATCCATCTTATTTCGCTAATACTAGAAAGTGTTTGAAACTGCATGGAACCGCGTGGAACAATGTAGTACTGTCAGCGACACAAACGTTCTCCCTTTGAATATTCTTCCGTTTTTCTAAAGAAGGCCGTTTTCAGACTTGGCCGTTAAAGGACGATGTTATTTTATTATGACGATACACTCATTATCCGATTCATCATTATTTCATATAGATTTGTTCAGACGCGACTGTACTCGCGAGTGTACTCGAGTAATGCCAGTATTACTCGTGCAAACTCGTTTCAGAAATCATTTCGAAAGAGCGCGATTTGTCCGGTAAAGAAGAAATAAGGAAGTACCCGACGTTTGGCACAACGGGGCTCGATTTCGGGCTATTGTAACGGGCCTAATAATTATCCAACAGCGTATGACCGCGCCAAGGCCATGGTCATGGTACGCTGAGCAACGATCTCACGGACGTTCTTACGTATTATAGCGGCCGCTCACTTTACGTAACTTTTCCTAACATCTTCGGGATAGTACTTGAGCGTGAAAGTGCATGCGGGATTTGGGAAATCAACTCCCAAACCAGACGAATCACTCGCGTACGTAGCGCGCGGAAAGGCAAGCGCGGAGTGTCTGACGAGCGCTCTCATTTTTTTTTTTTTTCTCCGACTCAGTCCTTTTCTTTGCTCGATTCGTGATGGAGATTCCTCTAGGTTACTATCGTTCTCGCAAAAAGCCTGGACGAGAATCGTTTTATCGTCGCGAGAGTCGCTCCAGCGTAAAATTGATTGTGCAAGTCTACTAAGGTGAGCTCGCATGCTTTCGAGAAACGAATTCTCACCTCCGAGGAAGAGAGGAGAGTTAGCGGACTTTCCCCTCCAAAAGTTTTTCTCAACGTCGGTCATTCGTATGCATAGAGGAAGGCGGAAGGTGAACACGGTGGACACAGCGGAGGAATATCAACAATTCGGAAATGGGTCGACCGAATCGCCGCGGATTTCCAATTGTTGTCCGTTAGTTTGTCGCCGGACCAATAGCGATATTTCAGAAGGGACGGAAAGGAGAAGATCTAAGGGCACTTACCGAGGATAATGGTCCAGAGTTTCGCAAAAGGTCTGTCCCGGTGGCGCGCAACTGGGGGTGTGTCCTGGAGGCGCCGGTACGAAGGGCTCGTATTGCGGCCGTCCAGGACATCCGTACTCTGTGCAGGGTTCACCTCGAGTGACCATCAAGAAAAACTGTGTACAGAGATATAATTAAAATTAAAAAAAAAAATCACAAAAAATATTATAGCTCAAAAAGAATAGAAATATAAAAATTTTTTAGTTATTATTTTTTATTATTAATTCTGCTCAAAATACTCGTTCTCTTTTCATTGTACTCTTCGTTATTCGTACGTACATGAAATAAAAATTTGCATGTGCGTTTTGCATTTGCGGTCAAATCACAATAAAAATTGAAAGAGACCGCCGAGATCACTAATGCCGACTTAGCTTTATGCAATGTAGAACTCTACTTGTGTCGACGCAACAGTTTACTTATTGTGAAATGCCGCATGTCGACTAATTGATCGCTTGTTGGAATACTTTCTGTACATGGTACAAACCCGTGTGTTTGACGACGATATTAAATCGGCTCTGATTCAGCCTATACTACGTAATTTGATCGCTAGATAAAAAGCATTAACTATTAATCAAGAAGATGAGTCAACGGGAATCGCGATTAGAAACCGCGTATACAAAACGTGCACGTTAACAATTAATGGAAAGAACGTTATATCAGATTTATATTCTTAGTACTAGACCAACCACTTACGATTGATATTAGGTGCCATGCAAACGCCATTTTGATCTATCGGTATATGATTCACCCCTGCGTGAATAAAAACCTTCTCTCCTGTGGTGAACGCGGCAGGTGTCTCGGCAGGAAGGAGGCCGCGAAGTCACTTAATTGGCATCGCGTGCTGATCAGTCGCCGTGCCGATGTCACTGCTGATAATCCAACCCGACCCAGGGATCGTTGTCTTGAAGACGATCGTGAGGAACAGAAGTCCCGTTGACGTTAGACGACAAACGAACGGAGTATCGAGTATCGTACTCGGTCGGTGTACCTTGAAATTTTTCAAAATAAGCGACAGCTCGGTATTCGATCCGGCCGAATCTCCGATTCGCGATTAACTTTGAGGACTTTAAAAGGAAAGCGAAACCCAATCCCAATTTGGGAGATGCTACGTCTCTTGCTGCAACGCAAGCGTAGCTCGTTGTCGTCCCGACTACGACAGAGCGCGATCAACCATAACGGACGTCTCTCCACTTTTGGCCAGCGTGATTCGAAAGTGTCCACGACACTGGGTCCAGACACTGGCGCGATTCGGCTCTACGCGCCGCGAGTCTACCTAGCAACGTGGGATACGTGGGTTTACCTGTGCGTTGGCTCCTTCCTCGAGCGCAACGTGCACGAGTTTCTGCGGGGCTCAGGGTGGGGTAGGCGGGCATATACTTTCACTGGGATACGTGCGGCGAGGGATTCGTCGACCTTATGACAGGCACGAACTGAGTTTTTCTCTGGATGACACGGATACATCTTGATTACGCGACATCGACTAGTATGTCAGAAGAGAGAAAGAGAAATGCCGCTTCTTCGTATATCGAAGCTCAATTCCGTACATTTCAGCTGACAAGAATCGCGATAAAGTTTCTTTTTTTTTTTTTTTTAATGAAATATCGCGTACGACTTTCCGATTATAATATTTCTTTGGTGGACATAAATTTCTTCTACGAAGGATTTAACGATAGGATAGATATTCATCATTCATTGTAATAATAAATACGATGATATCGGAATGCTTGAATGTTAAATAAAAGTAACGCTAAATATTTCGAATAATTTAATAAGTCTGATTAATAATAAGTTGTGTTAAATTATGTGATATTTAATCATGAGATACTTTAATAATCTGTGACTTGAATACATAATAGTTTTAATAAATTATTTCCTGGTTATTGTTCAGATATACTCGGTGGAATAAAAAGTGATCTTAATCATCAAGAAAGAAATAGATAAATGATTATCATATAATTGTTTTATTATTAATCAGAGTTTCTCCACTTAAGGGGATGCTTTCTGAAGATTCCGAATGAATTTTGCGATGAAAAAGCGCCCTCATCTAAACGGAACTAAAATGTCGATAACACCGACATTTTTATTTCGTTTCCATGTATCATATTAGTTCAAGTATACATTATATATATATATATATATATATATAAAAATTTGTTAGATCTGAGCATACATTATCACTTCTGATTAAATTAAAAATAATAAAATAAATATTATACTTAAAAAAATATCTTATTGATATAATATAGGAGAAATGTGAATTGTGCATGTCGCTTTTGCACGTTTTCGTTTTTAGTTTGGTGTTACACTTCTGATGGCGCTTGAAGTACATGCTTGCGTTTAGTGCGGTGACTAAGTTATCTACCGAGAGAATATCGTGTGGTAATAATCAAGCTAGAGCTGCTGGCATACTTTTCATTATTCCAATTGATTTTAATATAACCTGCGACATAATCGCGTCGTTTCCTCTCTCCAAGTCTTCACCGTATGTGTGAAACACGCCTGTCCAATTCGCGTCACATCGTCGGAGCTGATCGCGCATTTAAAGGAAGCTCTCGATGTGAATGGTGCTTAAAGTTTGTCGGATGTTAAAAGGTTCCTCGCTCGTTGTGACGACTTGTTAACCGTGTCGGCGTAATCATGGCGGCGACCTCGTTACGGATAGACGAACTCGTGCAATCTGTCAGTCTACACAATCCGAGGAAATGGATGTTCAACGGTTACATCCTGCCTTTCGTGATACTGCAGGTCCTTTGGATTTATTGTTGGATCTTCGTTTATGGCGTTGACGAGTACTATGAGGCGGGCCTGATAGGCATTGCGGCAATCGGCATGCTGCAGATTTTTCTGTGCCTGTGCTGTCAATGGTCGGTGCACGTGCACACATTTTTGAATTGCAGCTCGGTAAGTGGCAGCCGCCCTTTCAATTTACTTAGATAATGGGCACGTGGCTTTTTGTGTCCCCAATATGTCCCATAACGTGGCAGCCATTCGGCCGGTCTTCTGCTAGGCCGGGTCACGTGACATTTTGGCGGGTATATTCAAACATCGAAAAAAATGTTTTGAGCATGGTCTTTTTAATATTTTGTTTCGTGGTATTTATCTTTTTTATATCGTAAATAAAATTCCAGGAGAAAAATCCGTACAAAGCTAGGATAGTTAAAGTAATTCCCACTCCAAACAATGGGAGCTCGGAGCTGATTTCATTACATCATACGAAGGAACAGGAGCCTTGGTTTATTTTTCAAAAAACAAAATATAATTGGGACCCAGAGGAACAATCATTCAGAGGTTTGCAGTTCCCGATTAATCATTCCGTGAAACATTATTGTGAATGGAAAGGGTATCTTGATCAAAAAGAAATTGAGGCAGCGGAAGAAAAATATGGGAAAAACAAGTATATTGCTAATGATTTTTTTACAATTGTTCCTTGCAAGATGCCTTTTACATCATTGAAGATTGTTTTATTTCTTTAGATTGGACATGGTTGTGCCCGAATTTTGGGAACTCTTCAAGGAACGCGCTATTGCTCCGTTCTTCGTTTTTCAAGTGTTCTGTGTGGCACTCTGGTGCTTAGATAAATATTGGTACTATAGTATTTTCACACTGATTATGCTTATTATGTTTGAATGTACGTTAGTTCAACAACAATTGAAAAATATGGCCGAGATTCGTAAAATGGGAAATAAACCGTACATGATAATGGTATGAATATGAAAGCTTTTCATAGCAACTTGCTTATTTCTCAGAATTTCACATGTTTATTTTACTACTTTTAGGTATATAGAAACAGGCGATGGCGTTTGTTATTTACAGACCAACTAGTTCCTGGAGATATTGTGTCCATTACAAGGTCTCAACATGATAATTTAGTGCCATGCGATATGTTGCTTTTGCGAGGTCCATGCGTAGTTGACGAAAGCATGTTAACAGGTACTTTAAACAAACTAGCGTCGTGTTCAAATCACAGATAAATGATTATAACGATTGAAAATGTCTAGGTGAATCTGTTCCTCAAATGAAAGAACCCATAGAAGATATTGATGGACATAGAATTATAGATATTGAAAATGATAAGCTTCATATTCTTTTTGGTGGTACGAAAGTTGTACAGCATACATCCCCTACCAAAAATACTCCCGGTCTTCGAGGTATTGCCGATAAATAAATTTCATTTTTTATGACTCTCACTTGCTTTACGATATTAACGTGTAACTGTGTTGTAGCGACCGATAATGGATGCGTTGCCTACGTATTACGTACCGGCTTTTCTACGTCACAAGGCAAACTTTTAAGAACAATACTGTTCGGCGTTAAACGCGTTACAGCTAACAACTTAGAAACTTTCGGTTTCATTCTATTTTTGCTTATTTTTGCGATTGCTGCAGCCGTGTATGTCTGGATCAAAGGTAATTCGACCTTCCATTCGACATAAAGATGAAGATTGTACAATGAAATTATACGTCGCGCAAATTTCGATTTTAGGCAGCCAAGATCCTACAAGAAACAAGTACAAACTATTCTTGGAATGCACGTTGATTTTGACATCAGTTATACCACCAGAATTACCTATAGAATTATCACTGGCTGTAAATACGTCTCTGGTAGCTCTATCCAAATTCGGTAGAACAAATTGATATCTTGTCGACTTGTTTAATCCTATGTATAAAAATTATTACTGTATCTCATAATTTTACAGGTGTATTCTGTACGGAACCATTTAGAATTCCGTTTGCCGGTAAAGTCGATATTTGTTGTTTTGACAAAACCGGTACGCTTACTAGCGATAATCTAGTAGTTGAAGGTATCGCGGGCATAAAGTAAGAAATTACTATCTGTCTTCTTGCATTTTATGTTATTATTAGAAAGTACAATTTAAATATTTTTTTAAGTGGTAAGTCGAGCGTGATACAATTGTCCGATGCACCTTTGGAGAGCATTCAAGTGCTCGCGACGTGTCATTCCCTCGTTCAATTAGATGATGGTATCGTCGGGGATCCGTTAGAAAAAGCCACCCTCAAAGCCATCAATTGGAGTCTTACGAAAAGTAAGTATAGATTTCTTAATGATATGAGAGAATGTTAACGCCCCTTTCATACGGAATGTTCCATTTAGGTGATTCTGTAATTCCTAAAAAGGGTAAATCTCCAGCATTGAAGATTGTGCAGAGATACCATTTTTCATCGGCTTTGAAAAGAATGTGCGTTGTGGCTGGGTACAGTCTTTCTGGAGCTTCAGAAATACATTACATGGCTATGGTGAAAGGTGCGCCAGAAACTTTGAAGAATATGGTAAGCAAAGTAATATCTATCTATAACTTCAATCTTATTTTATTCTTATTCTTATCGATAATCTGTTATCGTTTCAGTTATCTTCTGTACCGGAAAATTATGATTCAACCTATTTATCTCTGTCACGACGGGGTGCAAGAGTGCTAGCTTTGGGATATCGAAAACTTACCGGTAGTTTATCTTCTCAAGATTTAAGAGAATTATCTCGTGAAAAGTTAGAAAGCAATCTTATTTTTGCGGGATTTGTTATCATTAGCTGCCCACTCAAACCCGATTCGAAATCTGTTATTAAAGAGATCGTAAATTCATCGCATTCGGTATGTATATGATTAAGTTGTTGTAATTGTAATTGCATTAAAAAAGAAAATATTTTCGTCAAAATTGCAAAAGAGTAAGTTTAATGTATTTTTTATTTAGGTGGTAATGATAACCGGTGACAATCCCTTAACGGCCTGCCACGTGAGTCGCGAGTTACATTTTACGAAGAAACCTAATACACTTATATTGACTAAAAATAATGATGAATGGTTGTGGGAAAACATTGATAAAACGATACAGCTTCCTTTAGGCATGGAAAATGTCGAATCACGTAAAGAGATCTGGAAGAATTACGCACTTTGCGTAACGGGTGAGGTATATAGATGAATGAGAATTCGACTTTTCACCAATCAAAACAAATTCATAACGATCGTTCGTGTACCGCATATTGAACTTTTCTAGGGTTTATCGTACCTGAAAGAAGAACAACGAGAACTCCTACAAACTCTTTTGCCACATGTAGTGATCTTTGCGCGATGCGCGCCGAAGCAGAAAGAATTTATTATCGTATCGTTACAAACTCTCGGATATACAACGTTGATGTGCGGTGACGGAACAAACGATGTCGGTGCTTTGAAACACGCTCAAGTGGGTAAGTTGACGAAGAAAGTAACGGTAAAACTTGGATATACTTATTTTTCTTTTTTTTTCCCCCCCCTGGTAGGCGTCGCCATTCTGTCCAGTCCGTCCGAAAGAGTGCATTCTGACAAGCGAGAAGATTCAAAGAACGAGAATCCCGTACGAGAATCCTATCCTTTCGTAAACAACGGACCAAGGAACAATCCAAGAATCGCACCGGTTAACAATCGCGCGAGATTGCAGAAAATCCTGAAGGAAATTGATAACGAGGCACAAGAGCAACCTGCGATCGTGAAACTGGGCGACGCTTCTATCGCGGCTCCTTTCACCAGCAAAATGTCGTCCATTCAATGCAGTAAGAATCACGAACCACCTGTAACGTTGTTCATTATTCAAACAAATACTCATTTGTTTGCAGTATGCCACGTGATTAAGCAGGGACGTTGCACTCTGGTCACAACCCTGCAGATGTTCAAAATACTGGCGCTAAACGCACTGATACTCGCCTACAGTCAATCAGTGCTATATCTGGATGGGGTTAAATTCAGCGACGCACAAGCGACTTTGCAGGGTATCCTTCTAGCGGCCTGTTTCCTCTTCATCTCACGATCAAAGCCGCTGAAAACTCTGTCGCAGCAGAGACCATTACCAAATATCTTTAATTTGTATACTATTGTGACAGTATTACTGCAATTTGCCGTACACTTTGTCTGCCTCGTCTATTTGGTGAGAGAAGCTGGCATCTTATCTCCAAGGTAAGACGGATAAATTAAAAATTAAAATCTCTCGATTGTATTCTCTAAATTACTTCTTTTATAGGGACAATAAGTTGGCAGCCATCTTAACCAATTCCAGTGAAGTAGATTCATTGGGAGAAGATGACAGAGAGGAAGAACTTTTTGAGGCAAACTTAGTTAATAGTACCGTGTATATAATCGCAATGTCTTTTCAGGTTTCTACTTTTGCTATAAATTATCGAGTAAGTTTTTTTATATTTTATCAAGCTAATAATTGTGGTATCATTAACAATGAATATTTATAACGTCACATTTTGATAGGGCCAACCATTCATGGAAAGTTTGAGACAAAATAGATCCCTTTTGGTCAGTCTTGTAACCAATTCTGCCGTAATATTATTGCTGGCTTGTGGATTTTTACCAGAACTGGCAGCACAATTTGAAATTGTAGATTTTCCAAGCCAAGTAAGTTTCCACAAAAATGCAGATATATATATATAAAAGTAA